GTTGGAAAGACTGAAGGCTAAAGAAAGACGGCTTCGAACAGCTGCTGAAAATCGGAAGTTGCTTCATCTCACGCAGACACTTATCATACTTGCTGAGGAGATCGATGAGTTAGTGGACGAGCTTGGTGGCGACCATTATCGAGATATGCCCGAACCTTCGAGTGAGAATTTCACTCAATTGTGATCTGTCCAAAATCAATTTTGAAATTGGTTTGTATAATGGTTTCAGCTCCAAAAGGACGACTACTCATAAGGATACGGGTGGCAAAAGCAAAACTTTATGGGGCAAGAGTTGACGTCTTTGAAAGTCAGAAACGAAACGATCAGAGGGAAGGTATGTTTATTACTTTGTGCATTCATTCACTCACACAAACAACAACTGAATACTAAATCAATGTCTGGTTTCAGGAACTCGTATGCAGCAGAGATCAAAGAAGGTCTTGCGAGACAAGCAAGCAGCTTTGAAGAAAAAATACAACACATTTAAGAAAAACATAACAGCATTTAATAAAGATTACCCGTCTCCTGACCCGTTAGAATGTCCACCTCTTGAAGAGATCCATAGGCTGGACCTGGCCGATCATTTTTGGGATATTGGTCAGCTGACTCATCCCGATGAAGCCTGGGCCGTCGATCCAGACACACAAGAAGGTATAAAAGCTTACCTGGATTTCACCCATTCTCGGGACGAGATAAGCCGGATCGGTCGAGAATGCAGACAAGCAGCCAAATGGGCGCTTGACATCCAGAATCGACTATCCCTATTGTTGACTGCATTGGAAGTTGAAGGTCAGTCTGAGTTTGACTCATGGGATGTATTTGAAGCTTACCTACCCTTGTTTCCATAGAGAACGATCCAAATACTGTTGCAAACAAGTGGTTGGTCAGTGTGGTGGATACAAAGTTCTTAAAACCAGAAGAGCGTTTAGAGGTCAGTAAGAAAGTGTTACAAGCACTACATTCCAGGCTTACCCAAGACCATGCCCGTTTGTGCATGGTGTGGAACGTCCATTGGAGCAATGTAATGACAAAGACAAATCCTAGCGGGCTTTCAGAAGAGGAAGAAGCAGAGATTAGAAGACATTGGAGTGCTTTGGTGTCGGAAAGCAGGCTCACCTGGAAAGCTGCTACTGATGCAAATATTGTGGAATCGGTTCCTCTGGACGAAGGTGAAGAGGAAGAACTCAATCTAGCGCCACTTGATATCAATGATATCGGTGAAGTCGAAGATATTGATATTGACCATCTCAACATTTTGGATGACGATGAAGATGAGCAAGGGGAAGGTGGTGAGGCATTTGAAAGTAATGTAATCGATGGAATTGGAGGTGTTGTGGAGGGTTTACTTGGAGGGTTAGCCGGATAAAGTATATTAATGTGAACGAGGCGGTTTTGGTGGTTTTGTGATTGTTTTTGATTTGTTTGATATATTTATTAGCTTTGTCCAAATTTGTTGATGCCTTGTGATCGAATGAGAAATCTTGTGACTGATGTCTAAGTGGGAGTCGTCGGTGTCGTATTCCAATCAAGCTGTTCAAGTGAGTTGAGTGCTGTGGGAAGATTAGAGTAGGAAATGGGTGAGACCGAGTCTCAACTCTCAGAAGGCCTCAAGTCTATCCACGGGGTGACATGGTGTACCCGGGGTAGAGGTATCTTACCACAGAGCACTCTGAGGTGTGAGCAGAGCGCTCTGAGGTGTGAGCAGAGCGCTCTGAGGTGTGAGCAGAGCGCTCTGAGATGTGAGCAGAGCGCTCTGAGATGTGAGCAGAGCGCTCTGAGATGTGTACAGAGCGCTCTGGTGAACTTGGTGGGAATTTTGGTCTGTGTGGACTTGTAATGTTTTGAGAGGGGTGCTCCAGAGCGTCTGTGTGCTCTGGCACCAAGAGACCGGCTTCCAAGTCGGTCATAAGTCTCCCTGTATGATCGACTTGTATGTCTCTTTGTACAGGTGCTACAGGTGGTTGTATTCACATGGCTGACAATTCTTGCTGCAGGACCCCGCCAGCATTGACCCTGCAGAAGTGAAACTTTGGAAAGACTTTTGAAGGGCTATCAAGATCATGCAGCAACACTCTGGAGCCCTGCGTGTAATCAAGCAAAATTATGCAGTCAAGATGGTACCGCCCAACAAGCCGCAAGGTACTATGAGAGCATTTGGTCACAGATCATCTGAGCGTGCTGGACAAGATCAAAGCGGAACAGTCATTGGTTTGTTTACCTTCACCTTTTCACATGAGGATCTTTCCAGAAACTTAATATGTTCCATGTTTTAACACCCGCAACCTATGCCAAAAATTCAGCTACCAGCGAGGATCCAGCCAAACTAGACAAGGATGAAGCCCGCCAAGATGAACGTCCTTGGGTGGTGGACGTTCATGATGAAAGGACTTATTCTTTATCTCTATTTGTGTATGATTCCAGCAAGAAACTGGCAGACGAGACTGATGCCCCATGTGTTTAAGATGATAATTTTGTGAGCAAAGTATTTTTGTAATTTTTTGGAATTTTTAAGAGCAACAAATTTTGGAATACAAGTTGAAATGAAAGAATTTACTCCTCATTTTACACCATGTGCTGATCTCTTGCTGGAATGTGAGTTTGTTCCCCAGATTTACCTCCATACAACAGCTCCATCTCCTCCCATATACTTAATTGTGCTATTATTGGGCAGAGCAACCCAAAATGCTTGCATATCCTATTGCATTTGCGCTGGTATAGAAATTCTCCAAGCCTTTCCTTCCAGTGTTTCCATCGCACCAAGCCATACTGGGTTATGGGTGAAACAAACAGTCAGGCAAACATTTTGCATACAAGCACCAATCTACTTACTTGCTTGGATCCACAATCAAAAGGTCTGTCAATACCAAACCCACCCCCTGAAGATCCGCAACCATTCTTCTTACGTTATAGTGTTTATGATACCAATGACTGAGAGCTTTCATTACATCATTGACAAAAGGACTTTCAGAACCCCGGAGTTCAAAGTTGTGATTGCTGGTATACTTGCAGTATTGTGTAACATCAAGTACTTCTTCAAAGAAATAAGCACATTCAGTGGTAGCACCGCTTCCCGCATAGACCGGAAAGTTTTGAACCATTGGGAAAATAAAACACAGGATTGAGCAAGCTTGAAGAAAGTGTATTGATTCATTTGACTCACACAAATGTTGAAAAGAAGATTGAAGCCAATTGAAGAATACTAAAGAAGATCAAAGGAGATCGAGGGATATCAAAGATGATTGAAGATGATTGAAGATGATTGACGCCGATTGAAGAATACAAAAGAAGCAGGTTTAATCCAATTGAAGAGTACTAAAGAAGAATATTGAAGCCGATTGATGAATACTCAAGGAGATTGAAGCCGATTGAAGAATACTAAAGAAGATTGAAGGTATCAAAGAAGATTACAGAAGATTGAAGCTGATTGACAAATACTAAAGAAGATGGAAGCCGATTGAAGAAGATTGAAGAATACTAAAGAAGATTGAAGCTTATAAAAGAAGATTACAGAAGATTGAAGCCGATCCAAGAAGATTGAAGTAGGGTGAAGCCAATCAACGAAGGGTGAAGAAGATAAAGAAGATGGAAGCTGATAAAAGAAGATTACAGAAGATTGAAGCCAATCCAAGAAAATTGAAGAAGGGTGAAGAAGATGGAAGACGATTGAAGAAGATAAAGAAGATTGAAGCTGATAGAAGAAGATTACAGAGGATTCAAGCCGATCCAAGAAGATTGAAGAAGGGTGAAGACAATCAAAGAAGGATGAAGAAGAGTGACAACAATCAAAGAAGTTCAGTGTAGTGTAGGTTTTGTTGAACAAGGTGGATGGGTGGAGACTATGACAAAAGATGGATGAATGTGGATGAATGACTGGCCAATATAAGATGATCGGTGATGGTGTGTGGTGTATGGGTTGTGTGATTGGTTGAGAGGTAGAGAGGTAGAGAGGTGGTTTGTACAATTTTCATCATCTAATGTGAAGTTTTCATCTTTGGGGTCTTCTTTTATGGTTTGTTAATTGTTGTTTTTTGATTATCGACATTTGTTTTTTGATTTTCGACTTTTGTTTTTTTGATTTTTGAATTTTGTTTTCCTCTTTTGTGGCTTTCCTGGTACTTTTTGTGTCAATGCGACAATGGGGTGACAAATGTTGAGTTTCAAGTTGTCAATCTACTGAAATTTGGGCCGTAACCTGGTCTGAAAGTGGTTTGTGCCATGACTTTTACTCCAGTACAGGGGTTTTTGCCCTGTATTTGAATATTTTCTGTAGTTTTGTCTTTGATTTTTGAATTTCGCACCCGGGAATTGTGATTTTTGATTTTTGATTTTTGCATTGTCACCTTGACACCTCTCGCATTCCGTAGTGGCCCTATTTCATCTTGACATTATGAACTGACTCGTCGTACTTCTATGTTTCTAGGTCGGGACATTGTACCGTTGTACAAGGCTTTGTCCAGTTGCTTCTCTTTACGGAATCTTTGAAGAAGGACTTCAACCATATTCTCCGTGGCATCTCTGTCAAATACGGGAAAAACTGGGACTCTGTCGTGGAGACTTTAGGCTGGTCCAAAGAACGAAGTCGAAGGAAAGGAGAAGCCAATGACGGCCGTCCCCCAGACACAACCGATGCTCTCATCTGTCCAAAAAAGCTTGGCCGTCCTGCCGGCTCTGGTAATGTAAACCGGGATCCCCACTCATCTTACCAATCATACTCAGAAAGTAACAACCTTGGCAAGAGGAATCGTTGTTGGGAAACGGCGGGTTTGGAAACTTTGTTTCCTACTTTTTCTCCTTTGTGGATGCAAGGCTCGAATGGCAAGGGTAAAGATATTGCATCAAAACTCATACAACACTTTTCCTCATGAGCTTCCGCGGAGATGCATCAAGGTTCTCACATGAAATCGGTACTGTCTCGCGGCTTGAAATCCTTGCAGTCAGCAATCCAACAAATCTCACCAGATTCTTTCATCACGGATCATTTCTGTTCCTCCAACCTATTCATGGATTACCTTCTGATGGATAAACGTGGGAAACACCCTACGGCGATTGGGCGTCATTACTCTTTCAAACTTCAACTTGATCATCAATGCCCCAAGTTCCCTTCACATCAAGACAGCGACACTCTCATCAAGGCTAAGGTGGTGCTCACAACCAGTCTATTCCACGATGCGAACTTGAACTATGCCGATGTCGGTCAACTGTTGTCTGTATGGCAGGATGAAGGTCTCTTCTCAACGATTGCTCGATGTTGTCCTACCTGCCTCTCCACCTTTAATCAGCTAAACTCTCAAAGGGGACGAGAACCATCGGAAGATAATGAAGTTACTCATATTGAGATTGATCCCTCCTCTGATGTCCCTCGCTTCTATCAACGGTCTCGCTTAGATTTTACCTCCAATCCAATGAATATTTACTTTCACCTTTCAGGTGTTGCAGGACTTACCAAGGACGACCAAGAGAAATTCATGGGCGACATGCAGTGGCCTGAATCAATTACTATCAACAAAGTTGAATATCAGATAGTCTCGCGAGGGTTCTGGGGTCACAATCACTATTGGGCCAAGGTTGTCAGACATGTCGACGGCGCACGGGGTGTTTGGTTCTATGACGATCGCCGGGACGACGGGCGGGCCCAGCTGCTGGGTCGAGAGCTCAGCCGTCAACCAGTTGGCTTGTTTACGCACGCAAGCCTACCGCTGACGAACAGAAGGCCATTGATCGTGACATAGCCAGGATCATTCAAAAGAATCCGGATTCTTTCGGCGATGTACCTTTTGTTTCTGCCGCAGTCGTAGACGGGGATGATGATCATCAGATTGAAGTATCACAGGTGGCTGAGGTTCCACCTGTGGAACCAACATCCGGCAACTTTCTCACCGGTGCCGAAATGGCCAGCGACGCAAGGCAGGTCTTTGCGTCCACATGTAAGTGTCTATTCTATCACTTGCCTTCGTTGATAAACCACACTTACTGATGCCCATTTCTCTATTAGGTCCTCCAGTGGTCGGTGTGCCCATTGGGGAAGTTAGTCTACATGCCCCTTCCCGTGCGTTATTGCAAGGATCCAAACCAAAACATGTTTCCAATGGAGCTGATGGTAAGTGAAATTGTTCAATCCTTATGTGCATGGCCTCATCAATCACTAATACATTTGGTCAAGCCGATGAACGGGATATTCTGGCGAAGGAAGCCTTTAAGCATTTCCCATCATCAACGAAAGTCGACGAGGCGCCAAAAACTCACAACAAGCAGTTAGATCCGGTAAAAGATTCTGTTACCCTCCGCCTTTGGATTAAACGTCCAGCCCCCGATTCCAGCCCTATCAAGTCTCTGTCTCCATCGCCTCAGAAAGAGCTGGTGAATAGGAAAACCTCAAGGGGCAAGAAAGGCCTAGGTAAACAAGCTCCCCCAATGCTGGAACTAGGTGTCGTGGTCAAAAAAGAGCCTGGGTTAAAGGAGGAGTCTAATAAGGCTAAGGCCAAGGGTAAAAAGAAAAAGTATTAGTTTATATTATAGCAGTTTCTTCAATCAATATAGATTGATGAGTCCCGCGATGGTAAGCGCGGTTTTCCTTCGTAATTAAATTGTTTCTGTGTCTTCTTGTATGTTGTGAGTTTCAGGGCGGCCTTGATGAAATGCACAGTGGCCAATTAAGTGGTGGACATTGACGTGGTCAGCACTTTGATTTGCTGTGAGAGATAATGAGAATCGTGAGCAAAAGAGAAAGAACTGTCAGAAAATGAAGGAGGTGACATGGCTACGTAAAGCCATCCACATGACTTTTTTTTTCCTAAGTCATTCTGTGTAAATGATTCTGTGTAAAATTGTATCTCGCCGGGTGTCTCCTCGAAATTGGCACTCCAGCGGTTTACACTGCTAATTGAGTGTATTCGTCTTGGAGTGCAAAAGTAGAGTTTGGCCGGGGAAGATGCATTTTTACACTGATGGTTTTTGCACTGCATCAGGAGTGTAAATATATCAGGTGCAAAAATGTATCTGGCCGGTGTATATTTTAAATTTTACACTCGGTCATTTACACTTCAAATATTTACACATCAAAAATTGGGCCGGATCGAGTGCAAAATTCAACTTTGCCACAGGTCATGTTCATTTTTACACTCGAAGGGATTTACACTCCAGATTGAGTGTAAATCGTCCAGTGTAAAAATCTCTTCACCAATAAACTAATCATCCCAAAGCCAAAACTTCGGCTGGTCAAAACTTGAATTTTCACAGCTGAAACACAGTGAATTTGTCGATTTTGTTTGCATTTGTGTATTTTGTTGGAATCCATTGTTCGCCTTTAATATGAATGATGAATGATCAACAATAAGCACTATAGATGTTGGAACAGTAAAAGAAAATAGACCAAGAATAAAGGTAGTTCTATAATGAGTTGATGAGTTAACAGAAATATTGTTAGTTTGGGAGAGGTGGATTGATTTGGAAAGTTTAACAAAGTCAGGAACCACGAGTCTTTTTGTAGAGTTAAAATGAACACTTACAAAGCAGGAATCACAACATTTGGAGTGTTATTGTCAACAGGGATTTGATTTGGTGAATGTATTGAGATGCTGCTTGGGGCTTTATTCCACAAGAAAGGGATGGGTGTCTTATATAAACATCCATCTCTGCAAAGTATAAATAAGGAAATGAGGAAAGGTTACAGTCGCTAAAGGCAGTTTACAGCTACCCCTCGCGGGCAAAATTGAAATTTCAACTTTGACCCGGTCTTTCCCTGCGTCAAAGTTACACTACGTTTTGTACGAGGACATTTGTGTAACAGGCTGAATGAGCTTGTTCCAAAAATATATATAAAAAACAAAAATTTTGTATGGTTCAAAAGTTGATATTTTTTTAATGGTGGATGGTACCCAAAGGCACGACGGTACCGTCTGTTTCCACGATGAGAGACGGGGTCGGACTATGGGGCGTGGGAGAAAATAGCCTTAGGTCGAGGGCAGGTTTCTCCCGACGTGAGGTTGAAGATTGCAAGGCAAAGTGAAAATCCTTTCACTTGCTCTATCTTCCCCACACGAAGACTTCCCCAGAGTCGATTATCCCGTACTCAACGCTGGAAAATCTTCGCACTCTCGTCTCTCTCCTTTAAGCTTCTAGCTTAAAAACTCTTCTTTTCGAAAATCATTCCTCAATTCAGTTCTCTTTACGCAACATGTCAACCGAGGAATCTAACACTTCTAACACTGAGAGTTTTAGCGAGATGTTGAGAAGATCAAGTGCGAGATTACGAGGCGGGTCTGTCCCTCCGTTGGACTCTGAACAAACCGTCAACCCCCCATTGGGATCCGACCAACCAACTGCTGATACCACGACAAACAGCCAAAGGGGTAAAAGTCGGGGAAGAGGCCGCCGTAACGCTAGAGGTTCTGCGAGGCCAACTATGGGAAACGCGAACTCGGGAGATGGAACCCCAGCTGTAACACTCACAGTTCCTGGATCAAACGGGAACGGTAATTCGACCCCTGCATCATCATCGAACCCAGAAGTTCAAGGAGGCGGATTGTCAACAACCAACCGGGCAAGTTCAGGTGGTTCAACACCCCAAGATTCGAATTGTACCTTGGTAATCCATCCACCGGGTTCGGCGTTGATATCCGAAGATAACGTTGGGAATAATGCTACCGGTAAGCATCCATCACAGTGAACCACCTAGAGTGACGCCGCAAAACGGGAAGTTACTACCACGGACTGTGCTGCCACCTCAGGGTGATGCCTCGTTAGAGAAGTTCTTACGAAGGACAATACTAAGACGTGGAATTCTTTCCTTGCCCTGCCCAGTGCCTAAGTCACCCCCACGCAGAAACACAGTCTCGTCAGTCGTCGTTAGCCCTCCGAAAGGAATGCACTCCTGGTTGGCCGCAAACGGCTTTTCAATCGTGGATACCGCAGGACGAGTAGCACCGCGTGGACTCACTGCAGCCCTAGGATGCCCACCGAAGTCTCTCCCGGCGCCAGATGTCACGACTACTGCCGCCAACCCACCAGGGAAGTCTGCCAACCCAGCTTCCAGGCGTCCTCCTTGTTTTGACTTAACCAAAGATACCGACGACGATATAAGTCCGTCATCAAAGGACACTGAAGCTTCAAAGTCTGCGGCTAAATCAAAACCGGAAGTCAGTACGAATGGTATAGAAAATACTGGTTTCGTCAGCCTCTCTAAACACTGGCATGAGAAACTCCTACCTCTTGTGGGATACGTCCCTTTGTCCATCTTCAACATCAATTGGTTGAAGGGAGATTTACTTCGCACAACGTCCCGGCCACGAACCTCAAAGGACAAAGACGATAAATATGTTGGTCTGTCAGTTCCTGAAGAATGGAAGATGTCTTTTGGGGAGTGGGTAACGGCTTTCGACCTTTTCGTGACTTACTTGGAACACTACGACCATGGCGCCCTGGCCAAACGATTCAGGCTCCACAAAGAAAACATGTTCGCGATTATGCGGGAACAAAGGAGCTGGCCAATGGCTTTCAGATACGATATGGCTGTCAGGACCGTTGTGCTTACCATTAGAAACTCAGACGGCAAAATCGCTGACCCAGGAGATCGTAATGAGATTATCGAGCGAGATGCCCGCCTCGACTCGGAGAGGTTGGGAGATTTCGACCCTTGGTTTGCCGACTGTAACCCCTATGCAGACGGACAGGTCAAGTCCCACATCGACCCAATCACCGGTGAGAAGCGGCGTTATCATGACAACTCCTTTGGATCAAGTGGCGACCACTCAATGAGCTCTACTTACGGCAAACCGAATGCTAGGTCCTGGGCCTTTGCCAACCAGAATGTTTATGATGGTCCAGGGGGTGTTAATTTTAATGACGCTGAAGACAGAAGTTTTGGTGGTCGTAGAAATTGTGGTCGTGGTAGAGGTGGTCGCTGGAATGGTGGTGGGGGTAGTCGCAATACTTCTCCTAGAGGTCGTCGGGGAAACGATGATTACGAGAATCGTAGAGCTGAAGGCAGCAATTCTTGGAAGCGCGAGGAGAAGTGTGATGACCGCCGCGGCGATGAGCGCGGTCCTGTTGGCCCCAAATACGGAGGAAATGGCAAGGCAAAGTAAGCCCTTTGGAACCATTGTGCCATGTTGTCATTGTCTCAAGCCGTTTAGTAAAGTTTTTTAAAAAAAAAAAAAAAAAAAAAGAAAGTCGTATTCTTACGCATTGGTGTGTGTACCCACCATAAAGTGTGTATCCGCACAACCAGAGTCCTATCTCATTATTTCTTGAAGTGCATGATATGCCGTTGTTGTCTTAAGACTTGACCGATCTTCTTTAGCTCATATGACCTTGTGCATGTGTCTCCACTGTGTTATCGAAATGAATCAGACAAGTGTTGGCCAAGTATTCTGACAGTAATTCGCCCACCTTGCCCTTTGAGTAGCCCGATGTTCGGCAGTAGACGGATGCGCGAAGCGGGACCTAGGATTTTGTTCAACGAATCGATTGAGAGATCGGGTGTCGTGAGATTACTTCCTTACCAGAACTCTGGGAGTCGTTATGACCCTCGTTGGCCAAAGGAGTCAGCTGTGTGTGATCTTGACCTGGAGAAATGGAAACGACTCGTAGACTTATATGAGATAGGTGATGACTCAGGAGAGGTCTTGGAGGGATGTCGCAATGGTTTCCATCAGGGTATCCCTGATCACAATTTAGGAAATAGAAGGTGGTATACACCACCGAACCATGAATCGGCAACGCAAGCAGCTGAAAAGATTGAGAACACATTAGCAAAGGAAAGAAGAGCAAATCAGATATTTGGCCCGTTCACTCACATGGAAGTCTTTGATAAGCTCGGATTCTTCAGGTCTAGCCCGATGGGCAGTGTAGTCAACGGAGACGGATCGTTTAGGATAATTAACGACTTGTCTTTCCCGCAAAATGAAGGAGAAACTCCATCAGTCAATAGCTTTGTCGATAAAAAGGAATTCACAACTAGTTGGGATGATTTTAAAGTGGTGGCGATTTTCTTTCGTACTCACTCAGGGAAGTATAAGGTCGCAATCTTTGATTGGGAAAAGGCCTGTCGGCATATTGCAATTCACCCGTCGCAGTGGCGTTTCCTGTTGATTATGGACCTCAGGAGAAGGATGTGGCTCGACACAAGGATTCAGTTCGGCGGGGTAGCGGGTTGTGGAGTGTTTGGTAGGCCAGCGGATTTATGGCGGAAGATTATAATTAAACACTTTAATTTGGTAGCAGCGTTTAGGTGGGTAGATGATAACTTACTCATCAAGGAAGAAAGTAGCCAAACAACCATTCAGGACATTGTAGAGTTAAGTGCTGAAATGGGAGTATCGTCCAACACTGAGAAGGTCCACGAGTTCTCTGACAAACAACGGTACATTGGATTTATCTGGAACGTAGCGGAAAGAACGGTTCGTTTACCGGAAGATAAGTTCATGGAGAGGAAACAGCAAGTAGACGAATTTTTAGTTCCACGAAGTTCATTCAACCTCAAGCAGGCAGAGAAACTGATAGGCAGATTGGTACACACTACTCACATTGTACCCAATATGCGTTGTTATATGCCGAGTTTGCATCGCTGGGAAGCAGAATGGAAAGTGCCGTTGGCGAGACAAACGGTTCCAGGTGATGTGAGGGAAGACCTACTAGAATGGCAAACGGCATTGCGAACCTTTCAACCGCGGCGAATAATCCCGGATTCGGTTCCTATCGATGTTGAGTGGGTAGGTGATGCGTCTTTGTCGGGGATCGGTATCCTTATAGGTTCAAAATGGGCCAAGTTTCGGCTAGTAAAAGGTTGGAACTCAATAACAACGCATCGTGGGAAACGTAACATTGCTTGGGCTGAGACCGTGGCAATACGTTTGGGTTTACTGGTGTTGAATGAGCTGAGAGACGTGAGGGGGAAGTCCTTCATCGTGCTTACCGACAACACCACGTCGCAAGCAGCCGTAGATAAACATAAATCCGGTGATCAGGCTGTGAATGAGGAATGGAAGCAGGTGCAGAAGCTGTTAGTGGAACTCCAGTGCGACATCGTAGCAGAGAGAGTAGCGACGGGAGATAACCTAGCTGATTTGTTGTCCAGAGGTTTAGACAACCGTGCTGTTGAAGACCGTGTAGTGATTGTTGTACCAGATGACCTCCGCTTAGTGGTGAAACAGTGCTTGTAATAAAATTCTTCTGCCTTCTTCCTGAGTTGCCATGGTGCTTGTGAGGGTTGGGTGCTCTTTGTAGGAGTACTCAGTGCTCACTAAAGGGTAGAATGGTAGATTTATTAAATTTAACTTCTTTATTTCAAATATGTAGTAGTTACAAATTGAAGTAAAGAAGGAAATTTAAAAAGAAGAAAAGGAACTGACAGTCTGTTTGGACTAATCCAGACAGACTTCAGTTAATTGACTCCTAAAAAGGAGATTCAGTAATTATAATATGATGTTTATTATAATATATGAAGGTTGGATCCTGGACCTTCCTTTAATCTTTATAGTAACAGATCAAAGAGTGAGTTAGTTCACCAATCTGGTTGTTCTTAAAGTCACCAACTTGGGGTTATTCTTAAGGTCACCAGCCTGAAGTTCTTCTTAAGGTCACTAGCCTGGAGTTGTTGGAGGTCACTAGCCTTGATTGGGTTTCTACTTAGGGGAAGTAGAGGATCCAGAGGGAAATGGAGAATTGTATTACCTAATTTTAATCAGGAATCTGATTAAAGTTGATGAAGCTTATCACTAGTCTTATTTGTATAAGACTCTTGATATTTTACTTCAGTGAACTTTAATTGTTCTTTAAAAGTAGTGGGTAATAATTGCTTGGGGTTTTCTCTGAAGGCTGAAAGAGGAGGGGTTTATATACTCTCCTCTCCAAACCTAACTGTAGTGACATTTGTTATTATCACTACATTGGTTCAGGGTTAGTTATTGACATGTAGTCATGATTGTTACTAGTAATGCTTAATTACATATACTTCTTGTGTGTAGTATGTAATATAAGCATTTAACTCTTGACACTGAGTTATGAGGTGTAAATGGTGTTTTGTTACATATTACATGTTGTTTTACAGGTTCATGTATATGTAATAAAGGTTTTGATACATTGTATTACATGTTACATACAGTCTATGCTCAGTATGTAACATGTAGTTAATCTTATACATATGTTTTTTACTGTTACAGGTTAGTTTTGGGTACATGTATATGTACTCAGGGCTGACAGTGCTAGGTTAGCTCTTGATCAGAGTTTGTAATTGTTTCTGATGTGAGACCGAGAGAACGTTTAAGTCTCAGACACTATCGTTCGTTCGCAAGTTAGCTTCTTTATCTGTCCCACAATCATGGAGTTCTTTAAAGGCCTAGACGGAATCAACTCGGTCTCGAATGACCCAGTAAAAACTTACATGATCAACGGCAGTTGGTCGGAGGCAACGATTAAGCATTATAATGCCGGCGTGTCGAAGTTGATCGCCTTCGCTAGAGACAAGAATATTTCTCGATCCCGCCTGTTACCAGTCGAAAAGGAAGTCTTGTATGCGTTTGTTGTGTGGGCGGGACCAAAGCTGTCGGCGGAACCGATCGATCCAATGTCCCATCCGATCAAGTCTAGTACAATTCGAACCTACCTTTCAGGAATCAAAGCATGGCACTTATTCCACGACTTTGATTATCCTCATTCTGCAACTGATCGGATCAAAGCAATTCTGAAAGCGGCTCAGCGACTGGAACTTCGTGAACAACCAAAAGAGAAAAAGAACCCCGTGATGGTTAAACATTTATTTGGTCTCTTAGAGTGTTTGTCAGATGGATCTTTAGAAAATCAAGTGGCGTACACTGCGGCCCTGGTGGCATTCTGGGGCATGGCCCGTCTAGGAGAATTGCTGAAGCCGGCTAATTGCAAGAATCAAGTTAGAGTGAAAGACCTAGTGTGGAGTGAAAAGGAGGACTTCTTACGTATCAAAATTAAAGAAGCAAAGACAGCAGCCATTGGAGAGGTTCAGGAAATCCACTGCCAGAACCAGTACTCCCTCCTCGACCCGGTCAGTGCAGTCAAGCGGTTGGTCCGAGACACAAAAGGGACGGACGACGATCCTTTATTCTCGTACCCGCATGGTGATAAACGGATAACCTTGACGAAGGCAAGGTGTCAAAAGATCTTCGACAATGTGTGGACAAGTAGGATGAAAACAAAGTTAACGGGGCATTCGTTCAGGGTTGGTGGAGCGTCGTTGAGGTGGAACTTGAACTGCCCTTTGGAGAAGATAGTAGCTGTCGGGAGGTGGAAATCGAAGGCCTACAAACTCTACATTAGAGAGTATAGTGAGGCAGAGTTATTGAATACTGTACGGTTACTTGAGGAACTTAGATTGTCATAATTCAATATGAACTTTATCTTATGGATTGACATAAATGAAAGTGGGCGGCGATGTATTCCAGCCACCTAGGACCCGTTTATGCTGTTAGGAGCAATTCACTTGGAAGTTTGGGGGGTTTGACCTTGACCCAGATCACCGTGGATGGGAGTTCGCAGGCTCAGGACTACGACCTGAGTCAAGGGGAAGCGCTCTCCCATCCCAAGTTCTCGGTGGTCCTACCTCCCTCTGCCCTCGCAGGCCGGGGGCCCCCCCCCCCAAGAAACCCAGAGTTTTCACGGAACGGATACTTTGAGTTTGAATAGGACAAACTAAAAGAACTTGTATTCTATACTTCACAATCTCCTGAATACATATCATGTGAAATGAAAACTACGCGTAACTGGACCCCAATTGAAAAGCTCATCTCCTCTGAGACACCGTCCAGAAGAGAGTGGACCAAGACTCCCACAATTTGGGACTTAAGCATATACATAGGCTGTATTATGCTTATAGTGTGATACCTTGGGTACTTAAGTACCTGAGTAGCCTTAGTTAAGGTTTTAAGTGTTTGCTTACGTGGACAAGGCTGCCACAAAGTCGGATTGATGGATTTCATGAAGAGAAGGATGGAGATTGAGATGATGGGTATCACTACAATATAATAAGATACAATTGGACCTTTATGTTGTAAGCACATCAATGGACAATGCTATGTTTCTTGGGATCAACCAATGTGACTTATACTTCTTGACC